AAAATGAAATTTCTTTTTCTAATTGCAACCTCTTTTGCGTATTTTTTAAAAATATTCCTTTTTTCTTTTCAGTTTGTGGCAATATGGCTCTTACATATGTGTAAAGTATTCAATTCTTCAATTATTTTTCACTTCAGCTTTTTCCCTTTGCGAAAATGTTAAATTTCTTTTTCAAATCAGTTTGTTTCGAATAATAAAATATAAACTGAATGATAATGAAATACATGAATGAATGAATCGAATTAATGACTGGGAGAATTTATGATTTATGATCTTGTGGCTTCGAAATAAGTTATTTGCTTTCCCGCTTTATGATCATTGTATCCTAAGTACTTATTCCAAACCCATAACATTTTCAACTGTTTATTAAAGAAGTTTTTACCTACCGATGAATCAATTATTCGAGATGCGGAAAATTTACAAAGCAATATTAATCCAACATTCAGATTCTTTCAAAAAAATGATTTTTTTTCTTAAACAGCTATTCTTCAATTCGTTGTCGTTTTTCATTGCGTCTCATTCGCTTTACTATATTATGGTATTATTAAAAACAAATAAATATATTTTACAAAATTTGACTTTGACATTCTGTCAAAACACGGAGTAAGTATGGTCGTTTAATGCATCGAAAACTCTTAAAACTTAATTGATATGAAGATTTCAAATATTGACACTCATTTATTATTATTATTTTTTCTTTTGTTTTGTTTATTCTCACAATTTTTGGCTAAAGCAATGAATAGGCGTAGAAACTGTAATTTAAGATGATCAAATCGCTTCATCAGTCACATTTCTGTCAACTTTTCTTCTGTATTCGGAAATTTCTCGAAAAATGCTAAAACAATAAGAATCAGTTCAAGAGTCTAATGTTTTAATCAATGCAGATCTGTGCAATGACCATTAAGAGGATCCAAATCATTCCTCCATGGAAATATCCAATCTATTTCATGATACAGCAATAAATCATTACTTCTTGCTTACGCACTTAAATTTTCTTCACGTGTTTTTGCAAATGGTTCACATATTCAGGTAAAACATACTGCTATCGACTTTAGATGAATTTTAAATAAAATATGAAAGTTTAACGAATAGTTGACAGAGATGTGACTGGTAAAACGATTTTATGTCTTC